CCATCTTGTCCCAACATCTTCTGGAATATGAATACACACACACTTACATATATAGACAGATACATGTATGCATATACATATACACATGTTACACACACACACACACATACATATTGCTTATTTCAGTGTTTCAAGATATGCAAGAAAGTTGGCTTTTGTGAATGGTTAGCTGTAAGAAGTCTGAATTTAAAGCCTGGATTAATTTTCTTTAAAGCCTTGATTTGGCAAGCCTTACTTTTAAGATTTGTTAAAGAAAGTTACATTAACATTTTGGGATGGTTTTACTCCTGAGTGATAATTTTGCTGGTATATCAGCTGAATGCCCAGGATGTTAACAAGGTCCTTCCATTATATTTGAACAGAACATCAGCATTTCCTAGAACTGTTTAATTTCTTGGTTCCACTGTCTGCTGGACTTTAAGCTTCAGCAAGGAAAACACATACTTAGGGATCTCTTCATTACCTCCTCCTTTTTGGCAATCTGTCTTGCAAATTTTATATTCTTAAACTTATTTCTGTCCTCCCCATGTTGGTCTGCTTTAGCCTCACTTCTCTTTAATGCATGTGAGAATCTCTCCCTAGGTAGAGGAGTGGGGTGATTATAGGGTTTGTTTTTTTGAGGGGGAAGCAGATTTAATTTCTTAATCTTTATTACTCAGGGATAATAATATTATAAAACATGTAATATTTTGTCTTATTTCATTCTCTGCTTTTTAGCATTGAACATTTTCATTTTGTTATGTTATACAAATTTTAATGTTTCATCAAAATGCCATAGTGATGCTAAATGCCATTTTTAATACTTTATCAATTTTTGCTTTTTATTCTTATTATATTTTCTATACCATAAATGATAACACTGAGAAATTTGATGTAAAGCTATTTTCTTTTGATTTTTCATTACTTAGAAAGATGGGAGGGTTATAGGGTTTTTCTCATGTGTTCCCTTTCTCTCAGGGGTGATAGTCCTGAGCTATCTGAACACAATTCTTACATAGATCTTACCCAGTTTTGTAATTTTCCATGACAGGAAGTTAAGTCCAAAAATTAATTCTTGGCATCACCAATGGAAGGTAAAACCTTAACAGTGGCTTCTCTTTTTGTCTTCTTAGGTATCTTTGTAGGTTTCTTTTTACTCATTTCCCTTAGATAAGTAACTAGGAATTTTTTACGTATGTTCTCTCCAAACATTGTCCTTCATTGATTTCTCTATTCTTACCTTCTGGAACTCTTAAGATCTATATGTTTAAGTTCCCTATCATCATACAATATTTCAGCTGACCTAGGTTACTAGTGAGGTAATGGATAACAAATCTTTCATTCCTGATGGATCTGGGGCTTTCACTGCCTTGCTCTTGCCTTGCTATGGCATTGCAATTGCTTGTTTACTGGATTGTGAGCATGAAAAGAAATATTTATGTGACTTGTATCCCATAAATCAACTATGTAATTCTAGTTGTATACTATTTTAAATTAAAAAAGTGAAATAAAGAGTATGTAATATTCTTAACAAAATACCTAGAAATGTGTGACAAATTGTATATAATTATATGCACGTTTTGCGGTAACCCAAAACAATAAAAAAAAGTCTAGAAGTAACCCAAATGCCTTTCAATGGAAGAATGGAAAAGTTAATTATGTTATACTAACAATGGAGTATTCTCTGTAAATAAATAGTCATTATCAGTAGCTACAACATCTACATGCTTATTACAAATCCAAGTGTAACAATTTTCAGAAGATCAACTACATCATTATATCATGTATTAAAAGCTCAAAATAAGCAAAATTAAAATACAATTTGGAAAGGGTAGGTATTTTCACATTGAAAATAATTTAGAAAGCCAGATACATTACAAAAAATGAAATTTTTAAATGCACCATGGAGCTGTATTAGCCATAGGGAATATAAGCTATATTACCCACAACTCTGTGTACACTTGATTCCAAAGAAAGGATTGTGAAAATCTCCTTCAAATCATGACTTCTAGGTCTAGGTGTACATATTTAAATACTCAAACTTACTTTTAATAAATGTAAAATGAATTTAACAATGAAAACATGGTTCAAAATATAACCCAAGAGTAGGAGGTCATTTATCTGACAGAAGTGAGGTATTTTCTGGTTATTCAGGTTTAAGGGTTAATTATGATAGCTAAGTGTTATAATAAATGTGAACATTTCTCAGAATATTTTTTCAATTGTAACTGGGAATATATTAATTTGATATACTTTATATACATGAACTAACATTTCCCACTCTGACATTGAGTTTTTTCAGAGCATGAAGATTTAAAGAGTGTATATAGCATTAAAACTACTCAAAGAATATCTTTAAAAATGATATCCAATAAACCTGCTCATCACATTTTTTAAAGAACATGGTACCATGATTTGAAACCCGTAAAAATGTAGGTCCCTACACAAAATTCCCTTATAGTCAGATATTTATTTTTAGAGTACATTTCCAGGGTGACTATGAGATATTCAATGAGATAGTATCTGATCCCCTAACACAAAGTAGAAATTTCTGAAGTAACAAGTTAAGTGTCTAGTGGAATCACTTGACTCATGAAATTGCTAAATCCCGGTCCTTCTCTAAAGCTCAGTGTCAGGATTTTTTTATTTGATTAAAGATAATATTCTACTAATTGGACTCAGTCAGCATTGACAAATATAAAAATATTCATTCTTAATTTAAATACAGATGTTCAGAATATAAGCCAACACGTCCTGCTCTGTAAATTCTGTACAAGTAACATTTATATGTTACCTAACATGGTCTAAGTGTGTTATGTTATTAACAATGATATCAAAGTAATTACCATTAGCAGATCAGTCATAAAAAATTGCTACTTTAAAAATGCTAAATTTAAAAATCCAGTATCATTGCTTTTTGTATTAGTTCTTTTTTTTTCAAGATTTATTTATTTTTTTATACAAGACCCAGGGTACAGGCCAGATGCACGGGAGGGTGAGAGAATTCACCAGAGACAGAGTGGGGAACAGAACAGGCAGACTGACGAAATACACTGCTGAAGGGAGCAGCGGGTGAGACAGGAGAGGTCTGCTGCACCATGTGGGATTTTTGCCAACTGGCCAGGATCAAACCCGGACTGTAGAGGCTGCGGACAGCTTCACAGTGCGATGCTCAACTGCCTGTGCCACCAGGGAGGCCCACTTTTTGTATTAGTCCTAAGAGCTTTTTTTTCCTACATATATCCCATCCCTTTTCTTCTACATATTTCTTTTCTTCTACTATTTTCAGTTTTACATAGCTTTCTAGAACTCTTCTTTAATAGAAAATCATTGAGGGAATACACTTGAAATTATAGAAGTGTCAAGAAAACACAATGTTTCTTCAATTACAGCTTTTGAAAAACCTATGCATAATACTTCCCAAGACAAGGTATAGGTTGGTTTTATTGCATTTTATGCTGTGACAAAGTATCATAATTAGCACGTTGGTATAATTTACCACTGTTTCATTAAAGCTGATTGCCTGGGAAGTTAACATGGCTTCATGAGTACTTGACCTGCCTTATTTTTGTTGCTCTGTCTATTCATGGGAAATGAGCAAAGTCATTCATCACTGACTGAAAAATAATTCTGATAAAGGTTATAATACAAGGAAAATGTATAGTTTTGCTCTTTGCCTCCTTAGTCATTTTCATTTTTAATTGGTCTAGTTTTATGATGAGTACTCAAGTGACAGAAGAGATACTCGAAGACAACAAATTTCTTAACAATTTGGCAAGATAAATTGTTTATTTAATTTATATTGTTAACCACTTCTTTTCTAAAACCCTGCCTTCAAAAGTGAAATTCACTAAAATCTATTAACTGAAGCACATTTTTGGCTTTCAGGGATTCTACAAATTATGCGGAAATGGTGAAATCCATTTAAATGGCTTGAGGTAGGGATAACAGGAAAGTTTTAAAAATTACAAAGACTAACAAGCAAAAGTAGATTAACAGCTGCCATGCTATTAAGTGTAACTTTCTTTCATGTTTTCAGCCACTGGCAAAGAACCATGTACATTTTATCTTTTACTCCTTAACCACCCTATGCACTACTTTACGACATGACAAATCAATCAGTATGGTACTCTTACATTAACACAGTAGGATGGTCTAAGAAAAATCCATCCTTTAATAGGACCAAAGTGAAATACACACACACACACGTGAAGCAATGCATTACATCAAGTAGCAAACCTGTAGATATTCTATACATTCAGACAAGTAATAGCTTCAAAACCAAAGTAGTCTATAACAACCTCATCTAAAAAGGACACTTAGAAAACAACAACAAAAAAAATCTTGTTGTAAATTCTGAGTAAGTTATTTACATTCTGACAGGACAGCTTTTATTATCTTTCATAATTTTTTGGCTAAAAACTGACAACACACTGCACATTAAGTAACATTTTTTTGTTGTCAATATTAGTTTTCTAAAGGAGACATCATAAGTGAAACTGCAGCTTAGAACAAATTTATTTGTGTCTTCTAGTTATTTTTCCAGTTCATAAATATGAAAATAAACTTTTTGGATATGGTCATGGAGACTTTTTGCTTTATTTTATCCTTCTTAGAAATTACCAGTGCATACAGAACCTTCTTCCTAGGCCCTTCTGTCTCTTGAATTATCTCAATACTACATGCTAAAAAAAAAGTATCAAATGAGAATTGAAAATCTTGATAGTCTTGATATTTCTATCTTGGTATTTCTAGAAATTTCAATGTTTATTAGTGAAAGAGAAAATTGGAATGTGTCTTGGAGAAAACTGGACTGTAAGTAATGCAAAGCATGGCAGTGAACAGATAATAATAGCAAAAAGAGAATTAATAAGAAGTATTATTATTATACAATTTTAGAAAAAGAAAAAGAACAAAAAATATCCAAACAGTAATCATACCCCATTATCATGAGTTCTGGTGTATCAATTAAAATGGAAGGGAATTACATGCAAATGCTTCAAATAAAAAATGTAGAATACCTTTCCACTGATGATTTTTGTTGTCAGGACAAGTGAGACCCAAACAGCAGACAGAAAGGTCCCAGCATGCTTGTTGCCTTTTTTTGTTTGCACAGTAGCTGTCAATTCCAGCCTTGCAGGTAGTGGAACCCAGCGGGAAGAAGGGGCGGGACCCAACGATGCAGCCTGAACTGAGAGCAAATTTAAATTACTGAGCCTTTTTTTTTCCTTTTTTATTTTTCTACTCTGCGACAAACTGAAAAGATTCCAGCACGCTAATTTAACCACCCTGCTTCTTCTTCTTTGCCTTTTTTTTTTTTTTTGTCTCCCTGCTTCCAGGATAATTAAAAGAGAAACCTGTAAAGGCAACATTCCTGTGAGCGAGTTGGTGCTGCAACGTGCTGGTAAGAAAACGAATTTAATTTTTTTATCTTTTTTGGCTTTTCTTTTTTTTTTTTTTTTAAAGCTGAAGGCTTTGTCTGTCTAAAGCAGTCATAAGCGTGGCTTCCCTGCCGTGAGGGGTTAGCATGTAATGAAAAGGTGTAATTGCCTGATATGTGACCTTCGCGTCTTACTTATAATGAGTAATAACAGCATTCCTATGTACACCGATGATGCTTTTCTCTGCCAATCGACTAGTCGTCCAGTTGCAACAGGGCTAAGATTGTTGCACTATGGCAATGGCAATGAGTTGTTGATTGTTTAGTGTTGGCATTTCAGTGTCCTGTCACAGAGAATACTTGAGTTCTACCAGTCACTCACTCCCAGAGGTGCTATGGGTTTTAGTAGGTTCCTTACAGACCATAACTGTTTCGTTGTTTATTCACCAAACAGGAAGTACAGTGATGAAACTTTTTTAAGGAACACTGTAATTATCCCAGACATCCATAGTCCAGATAATGAGGCAGACTCAAATGGTGCTGAGTAGTTATTTTAATCCCTTTCATCTGTGACTAGTCAGGACTTCATTAGATAATCAACTGTGGAGAACCTAGATCACTTGGGGACCTTGAACTTAAGATGCAAGATTTATTCTTTAAAAGAACAAATTTAATTCACCTCAATTAATTCAACAAGTATTCCTGAATACTCTGACTGGGAGACTGGTACTTGAGAATGTTCTTGTCTGTTATTCTGATATGGGAAGAAACAGCAACCAGCTGTTCTCACTATCATTACAACTAATGAGGACCTTTAGGACACACTTAAAAATGCATACCTGTGGTCTATAAGAAAAAGTTCTCAAGGTTGAATTTCTTACAATCATTGTACTTCTATTCCTTTCATGATTCAAATTTTATTTAATCAATTTTGAACAATGGCCAATTTGGTTTAGAATGCATATTAATGTTACAAAAAAGAGAAAAAAAACAGAAATCTTATCTTTCTTGCAAACAGAACTTTTCATTTGACAATATATTCACATGGCAAACTTTATTCGCACTTTTCCAGATTCTAACCTCAGAAGCTGGAAAACACGTGGAAAGGCAAAGGATTGTTGATGAGTCTGCTTCAAAGGGGGTTAAGGAGCAAAGGAATAAAGACAGTTTTGCGTTTAAAAACACATCTAAAACACCAAGTGATTGTTCTTTTCTGCTCTTCATTCTTGCTTGCAAATTCTTCTTCTTTTTATTTTTTTTTGTCTTTGTGTTTTAATAAATAAGTAATAGTGTCAGAAAAGAGAATGTAATTACCAAATGTCCATTAAGAACTTTTTCTAAAGACAAACTCCTCTGGAAGTTTGAAGACTGTATGCCATTTACATCTCATAGAGAATATAGCATTCCATACGCTGGTAACATTTGGTCCCTAGTCTCTGTAGCTATTTTATCTAAGTGTCATTTCTACATTTAACAGCTCTGAACTATGCAGCCCCTTGGGTCCTCACCAGTGCTCCCAGTTCACTTAAAATGTCTAAAAAGACCTCGGAACATTAGGAAATGTCAATTGTTAAAATAATTTCTGCCTCTTTCACCAAGAGAAAATACTATGAATTTAATAATTCATTTTTTAAATCTGTTTTATCCACCAGTAACTGTCTATTAGGAACATTTCAGTTATAATTGGAATAAATTGTTGCCCAGTAACAAGCAACTAACTCTGTAGCTACTTCCCATAGCATCAGTGTCTAGAAATAGCTACAAAGAGCTAAGTGCAAGTCAAGTCTCAACACTTGTATCTTTTTAATTATGGAAAAAAGTATATATTCAATTCTTTAAAATTTTACCATGGTACTTAAGATTCTTAAATTTTTGGCACAAGATGCCTCTTCTTTGAATATTTCTAATTGACCAGAATTCCATATGTGAATAATAAAAGCCAATACACCTTAAATTTTTTTCTTTCTGATTCAAAATAAGAATGAGAGAGGATAAGCACAATCTCTCAGACTATGAGTGTTAACAAGATTCTGGGCAAGCAATACCATTATATGTGAAGAACTGCTATCATCTCTTGCAGATCATAATGTGAAATTATGGGTTTCACTGTAGAACTCTGTCATTTGAACTAGTAATCAGTCCGTAATTCTATAGATTGCCGCAGTTAAACTGATGCTTCCCCCATTAATAAGATATTGAATAATGCTGAAGTTACTTTAGTTAGATTTTTACCCTGCCCATTTTTTTTCAATAGAAAAGAACCAATAAAAATACAAATCTCAATATCTAAGCATACATATTATCAAATGTCTTTTCTTCTTCCCTCACTACAGTGCTATGACATTACAATTTCAAGAGCAAAAATTCTTTAACAATTGTTCTGCATTTGTCATTTAGGTCTCATGTCATATAGTTTTCATCTTTTAATTGAACAGGTGTTGAAATCAAAAATACCTATGAAGAAAGTAATCACGGTCATTTTATGTATAGACATAAAAATTTATATGTGATGCCAAAATGGAAATGTAAAGGTGATATGAGAGTATAAGTAATATTTTCTGAAAATATGGTATTGACATTTGCTCAGTTCATTATCAATATTTACTGAGTATCAACTGTGTCAGGATCTATGGGAAACTGAATCATGGAAAAGCTACATCTTGTTTAGCAAGGCAATTACAATGTAGTAGAAGTTTAACTGGTAGACTAGGAAATGTCATTTGATTAATTAGCCTTTGACTAGCTTAGCATTTGTTAGATTCCCTAGATAAAGAAAAATTATATCATTTCTGACCTCTTTGAATCAATACTTTTGAGTAATGAAATAATTCAAAAGTTATACTTTACAACCTATACATTAACTGTGTAAAATATAAATTCAAAGCTAAAATATTTTCTAATGTCTATTTCCATGAATTTTCTAATATAGTCTTCATATATTTCCTGAATAAATATATAAATACTTAGTTATACTAAATTTCATAATCCTTTTTTCCTTCCCACCTCCCTGATTTCACTTGCTGTTATTTTACAAAATAGAAGATGGGAAATACATGGCATATTTGAGAACACAGTTTAATTTTTTTTCTTTATTTCCATCCAAGTGTTATCTCTTAGAAACCTAAGTTGATGGAAAGAGACACGAAGAAGACTAGTTGTTCTTTAAACATTTCTGTTGTAAGAGTAGCAAGATCAAAGGACCTGTGATTTCTTTATTCATTTTTATGCATTCAATTTGTTCTTAAACCTCTGCTCTGTAAAAGGCATTGAGACACCCTGCTTAAACAAACAGTTGTGATGCCTGTCCCCAAGAAGCTTAAAAAGTAAGACATTTTTAAACAAATGAACACAATGAATATAATTACAAGTGGTGGTAAGTGCTATGAAGGAAAAAGTTCAAGTGTTCTAATAGTGATTATTAAGGAGAATAAGACTGATGGGCCCAGAGAAAACTGTTGTAACCAAAGGTATAGATATTAACTCTGTTAAGTTTACACACAGACACATACACACACAGAAAATTTCCTTATGTCTTTGAGTGGCAGAAGAGCTTTGTTCACCTGGATTCTAGATGTTTTTAGTATTTTCCTACCTGAAAAACCTATAGTGCTTCTACATTGCACCTTCTTAATACAGTAATCTGAGTGCTGTCTTATAAATATGGTCAGATCATGTCACATCAGTGCTCAAAGCACTACAATAATGAAAACCAAGAAACAAATTACCATGCATAAAGTGGTACTGCCCAGGGCCAGTAAAGATGTCCTTAATCCCCCTGATTCTCTGTATTTCTGTTGTTCCCCGTCTTCCAACCACAATCATGGACTTACTCATTGAGCACACCTGGTATTTCCCCACCTCAGGACCTTAATATTTGCTCTTCTCTAGGCCAGGACCATTCTACATATTCATATCAATTGCTCACCTCCTTCATTTCACCTTCTCTGACTATCTTATTAATAGCTACAACTCACCCAAACCTCCTCTTTTACTGCATTCTCTTCTAGGAACGTGTCACTTCCTAATACAGTCTATCATCTATTTATAATTTGTTTATTGTTGGACTCTCTCCATTAAAATAAATGTTTTATTATAGCAGATAATCATTTTGTCACCTACAGAATTTCTAGTATGTAGATTTATCTAGCACATAGCAGGTACTCAGTAAATATTTGCTTAGTGGATGGTGGGTGTTATTAAAAAAATACAAATATCATTCTAATTGGTAGATTTAGGGCTGTGTTCTTGTCTAACATCTAGGAAATAGGGCTGAGTACAGAGGTGTAAAAAAATGCAGGCTGTCTCAGAGATGTGAGGAATGGAATCAGAGGGGCTCAGAAAGTTTTAGAGACTGAGGTCAAAACTGAAATAGAAGATCCAAATAAGTATCAATTCCAAGAGTGCAGATGAAAAACAAGAAATAGAGATATTAGATACAGTAAGAGGCCATAAAATGCAAGAAATGGGTTGCTTATGACCAAATGGCAAATGATGGCGTAATGGAAAGATTTCAGATGTTCTATACATATGTGCAGAATCTAGTGGAATGTGGATTGAATTATGTATTGTAAGTTAGATCTTATAATTATGACCTTCCTCAGCTCTCTAGAAGACTTTTGTAAAGAACTCTAGTTGACCTGAGTATTAATGAGTGGATCTAATAGAGACTCATTGCAAAGTCTGAAGATATCGGCAAAGTTGTTTATAACAGCATGCAATGTGACATTTTCTGTGTACTTTTTAAAGCAGCACTGAATAGCTCAAATAGTATATCTGAGAATCTACAAGGTATAGGAATGTGTAAGTAGGTCATAGAGAAATGGACA